TTTGATGTATAAGCATAAACTCTCAGGTTCACTTTGCTGTTCCTTCACCTGATATGTTAGGTTAGACAATATCTGAACTTCTCATTGAAATAGGAGGGACATGCTTTCTCAAGACTGATAGGAATCAAAAAGTTCCTTGGAATTTGGACAGGAATCAAAAAGGCTACATGTTTGTCTGCAAAATGCCTCTCAGAATTTGGATGACCAAATTAGGCTGCATGTTAACAAAAACATTCTCATGGGGTAGGTTTAAATCAGACTTTCCCTACCTGGTGTCTTCCAGATGTGTTATGTTAGACAACATCTGTCAGAAGTGCTACCCAGGCAGCAGGAAATGTGTAATTAGATACAGCTAAGAAGCATTAGCTTGGGGAAGGCTGATATAAGGAAACCCACAAAATCTCAGTTAATGTTAAATACTGGTAGAATGAAGTTATATGTATGGCGACCAGTATTGTATTAACATTTTCAATTTATACATCACTTTCAGAATATAAAGTTATCTGCAACTATTTAGGCTAAAGTTGCAGTCTAATGTACTATTATTATGGTAGTAAATACCATTGATTTCTTTGTAAATCAAGCATTTAGATTGGGTTGTATATGTGCATGTTCTGTTTAAAATGAGCAACTTATTTTACTTTACTTACTTATAGTGTTACACCCAATATGTGAACATGGGCGTAACACTATAGTAAAATAAATTAATTAAAAAGCTGAGACTAGAATGGATCCATAAAAAGATGATTTACAATCTCCTGCCCTTCCCAGAACAGAGTTATTGATTATTATCATATGCAAAGGACCATGTATAGTTATGAACATTTCAAAGGGTTTTCATTGTGGCCACAATGTAAGGCCTTCTGGACATTGCTGAACTTTATCCCTCAACAATGGCTCCACTAGATATGGCTGATCAGTCTTTGAGGGCAACAACATATGAAAAGCCACATATTAAATATTTCTTTTATAGGCCAATCTACATTTACAGTTTATAAAACCTGTGGTATATATCTATATAAGTAAATGCAGAATGACACTTGGGGGGGTATAGAATTTTATTTGAAGTTTCTTGGACGGTTGCACTAGGCTTCAGTGACACTCTGGCAGGGAAGTAAGGTGAAAGATGCTTCGGGCAAGTGAATCTTGGACGTTCTCATTCCTGTTACATAGACATAAAAATAGATGAGTGGGATAGGTCTAAGGATAATAATATGTAATATCAACAATAATATTGGCAATCCTTAGAGGTGATGAGAAACAATATTTGTTCTTATGCAGGGCTATATCTGCCATGCAGTAGGTGGGAAGGATGTTTCAAGAATCCTGAGCTGGGTGAGAAGACTAGATTATGGCAAGAACTGGGGTTTGAAAAATGCCACAAAACTTTGCAAATCTATGCCTCTGTCAAATGTAGTGACTAAATAGCCACGCATGGGATTGAGCCTTCAAAATACTGACCCTTATTTAGATGCCATTTCAGGCAGCAGCTTGTCTTTGACTGGTGCTGCCCCTTATCCAGTATGACTTATTCGCTGCTCCTGTCAAAGTAAGCATTACTTTCATTGCATCCAGCACCCAATCTTTTGTGGGTTTTTCTTTTGCCTTTATCAAGCAAGTGAAAAAAAAAAAATTAATCAAAGACTCTTGCTGGTTTTCTTTCCTGTCCTTCCCCTTCTCCCTTCTCTCTGTGTCCATCAGATGTACAATGGAACTCTCAAAAGAAACGCAGCTGAGAACAAACGCTACAGCTCCTACAGCCAAATGGACAGTTGGGGTAGCAGGCATTATAACAAGGTCTGCAGCCCTACAGGTCCTGGCAGTGACTACTGCTTTGTGCAGAACATGAAGAGTAGTCGGAGTGAGCCAGACCTCTACTATGACCCTCCCCAAGGCACGCTAAGGAGAAATCAGAGGGGAAGCCGGGTGAGTCACAAGGCCAGTCTGCATCGTCACAGCCTCTACAACAGCACATGCAACAATCAGGAAGGAATTACAACCATCACAAGGCCAAACAAGAGAGTTCCAATCCGCAGCTCCTCTTGTACTAACAAGCAAGATGCGGTCTATGCCCAGCCTGTAGCCAGCAAGCCTGATGCAGTCTATGGACAAGCTCGCTCCAGCTCCAAGTAAGTTCCTGCACATGTTTTCTCAGTGCAGCTCATGATGTAGAAAAGTAGGTGTAAATAAAGATGGATGGTATTTCAAATTGCATAATGGAAACCTGCTTTGGGCATTTTGGTTTCCATCATTCTGAAAATCATCATCATCATCATCATCATCATCATCATCATCATCATCATCCCTTCAGAATCTTATTGTGGCACACTTCCCTATGAATAAGGATACCATTGAGGATACAATCCTCAACACACTTATTAGGGAGTAACCCTCATAGAACATAGTATGGCATAGCTGTCAGTTACGTGGGAAGAACCCTAGAGCAAGAAAACATGTAGCATCCATATTTAACAGCACATCAAGGCTGTTGTTGTTATTAGTATATTTCCCTGCTACACCACTGGCAGTCGAATGTTTAGCACCACAACTCAATATCCACTCAGTGACTGAGTTCTTCCAAAGAAAAGAGTAGAAATAAAGATCCGAAAGTTCAAATGGGATTTTTTTTTTTAGATTTTTTTATCCCACCTTTAATATTTTTAAAAATAACTCATGGTGGGAACATACCTAATACTCCTTCCTTCTCTTATTTTCCCCACAACAACAACCCTGTGAGGTGAGTTGGGCTGAGAGAGAGTGACTGGCCCAAAGTCACCCAGCTGGCTTTCACACCTTCCTTCTCTTATTTTCCCCACAACAACAACCCTGTGAGGTGAGTTGGGCTGAGAGAGAGTGACTGGCCCAAAGTCACCCAGCTGGCTTTCACACCTAAGGTGGGCTAGAATCCATAGTCTCCTGCTTTCCAGCCTGGTGCCTTAACTAGTAGACCAAACTGGCTCTAGTTTAATTTTTTTTTTTTTAATTTAACCTACATTTAAAAAATCTAAACCATTGGAATAAAAAGAATCCCAATAAGAATTTGTGTATCCTTAGAGTGTTTAACCAGTTATAAACATTTAATCAGTTATAAGCATTAACCAGTCATTAACATTGGATAGTGACCTATGTGACACAGCTTCTTTTGGGGAACATCAACTTAAATAGAACATAGAACTTATCATAGTTCTATTGACAAATAGAACCATTAAAGTAGCTGTGTCTTTTTCCAGGTTCACATGACTGCTTCTAGGGGTCTCTGCATGACTGTTTTTGAGCATACTTTCAGAGACAACTGGAAGCAGCTTCTGAAGAATCTGTGCGTACTTGAAAATGAATATGGCTGCTTTAACTATTTGGAAAGAGATGATTTTCATGCACTCCTGCATGTTCTGCAGCACCTCTTTTGAAGTATTTGCATGCTAGATTCAGCTTCATCTAACTATTTTAAATTAGAAGATGTAGAGACTTAATATATGAGCCAGCATTGGAAACCTTCCTGAAAATGAGGTGGATTATAGCGTGCAAACACCTATGCCATAATAAAATGTTAGGACTATTCTATGTGCAGAAGTACAAGTGGAGTGTTAGAGTGTAAAATCAAGCAGCCTTTCCAAACTTCTCCTTAAAAAAAGATTATTACAGATCCAGGTTCCTATTAGAAGAGAGTTGCTTTCGTCTCTTGAACTACTGTGTGGGAAACACTTTCCTCTGCCAAACATCTTTCAGGAGTGGCCCCTTTGTAGCACCCTTTCCAATTGGGTGTGGTTCATCTTGTGAAACTGGTCCAGATTGGGGAGTTGTTTGCCTTGAAGCACAGGCCTGGCTGGTGACTCTTCCATCCAGTAGAACCAGTTCTTCTTCGGGAGCTGTTTCATTTCTAGAACTGAGACTGCTTGTTCCTGCACCACAGAGAGACTGGGGCGGAATTCATGTGATTGTTTTAAAAGTGGTAGTGAGTGAGTAGTCCTCATTTATGAGACCAGCCAGAATGGAAAGTTCATTTCAAATATTTCTTTCTGTTGAAATAAATAAATGCTTAGAAATGTGCATCCACCTCAGGGACTGATAGTTTAGTTCTGAAGAGCCATGAGAAGCTGGAGTATATTTTTTTATGTGTATTATTCTCCAAGTCAGTTAAAATTGTTTTCTATTTGGAGGTTATATTACAGAGATTTGCTTAAGATACAGAACAGGGCAAAACAAACTTAAGGCTGGAGTAACGAGGAACTGATCAAAACTGAAATTTGCTCAACAATCTTGCCCAACTCTGTGTACAGAACCAGCAGTTTCTACATGCAAAGTATGATCCTGCTACTGAGCTGTGATTACTCTGCTTCTTGCAGCTTAGCCTTGACTTTTTTCTCTGTGGAGTCATCCAGTTCATCAGTCACCTGCCTTTGAAGGTGCTGAAGGATTCTAATTACTGGTATGAGTTGTGGTTACATAGTGCTCAATAAGTCTTCCCAACAAACTGAAACATCTGAATCCATTTGATCTAAGTCCAAATTCAGCTCCATAGTTTTAGGTATTTTCTTCACTTGTCTCTTAAAAGAGCAAAATCTGGTCAGAGAATTTGTGCCTTAAAGACCAATGATAAATGATCAAGAATCTACTATTCCTGTCATTTTTAAAAAGGCTTTGAAAAAGAGCAGAAGTTATGATCCAAGTCTCCACCCTTCTCTACATGGGTCAGGACATGTTGATTCTGTTACCAGCCCCATTCCTCAGTCCCTCAAAAAGCCAACCTGTGATCATCTTCATGGCTGCCAACTTCTAAACAGAGATTAAATGCTAGAACAAAAGAAAGGCGAGTTCCCATCAATGGGACATAGGAAATGGGGTGAAGCAAATGTTCCTACTGACCCAAAGTTCTGCAGAACTGCAACATTTCAAGAAAAAAAATGAGATTTTGCCTAATACTACAATAGAAACCATGATAAATCAACCCAGTGGGTCAACCCAGTGCTTTGTGTGGAATAGTTGAGCAAGTTGTTCCATAAGCCAATTGTAAAATCTCCCTGGGATTTACATTATGCTGAGATTCAAAGCTGCAGTTAGAGAACATATTTTCTGCTGCCTGTGTATATGAGGCTGATGTCAGAACTTCATTGTCCTGCTTTCTCTTTCTTATCACTGCCTAAGGAAGTGAGTGGTATGAAAATGTATAAAGTAACTATTTTTCACCTGCAAAGTTAGAAAAATGTTATATATTTGTTATCTTTACAGAAAAGGAAATGGTACATTTAACTGCTTTCACATATGAAATGTAAAGTGTTGCAAAAGAAAGATCTGTTATGAAGCAATTCTCTTTCATGGAAAAACATACCTTTCTTTTTCCAAGCGAGGCTATACATTGGCCCCACTGAAGAAATTGTTTAGGACTGTATTTCTTAATTAATCCGTTTGATTAAAGCAGAAATAAGAGCCTGATCATTAAATTTTCTAGCTGTTTGAAGTGGTAGTAGTGATGGGCTAACAATATTCTGATAGATGTTCATTATAATTACTACTATCACGAAAATCTATCATTGCTAGTAATACACTGTATAGTAAATCCTCACTCTGTGTTTGTATTATTGGGACTGATTGGGATTGCCTTTTTGATAGAATAACAGTAAGTTGAGACTTGAGAAGAGAACTTTGTTGATATAAAGCACTTCAGGATGGTGTATGACATTTGGAGAATAGTTGGTATTCCAGCCTTCCTCTAACAGTTTAACTGTATCAGTTTAATTGCCCTTGCATGTGTACTTGTTTACACTTAGGTTTTAAAGAGTTTAATTCAAGATTTGTGTATTTCTAGTATTTTCTTATTCTAAAACTTACCTAACTCTACTTTTCCCAATCTGATGGCTTTCTGGTATGTTAGACTACAACTCTCATAAACGCTGAAAGATTTTGTGAGGTTTAAAGGAGAATGTGTGGTTTGTGCAATCTGTCATGAATTTACATGAGTTCTCAGAGATGAGTTCATAGAAATCTTACAAAAGTTATTATCACACTAGACTTTTGTTTGAAAAGGTTGCCCATCCCTGGCTTAGTTATGTTGCCCACGCTAGAACAGAATAGGCTCATATTCCAAAATTTGTTTAACTTGTTTTTAAAAAATCTGATGGTTGGGTTTGGACCACATACTGAATCATAAACCATGGATTTCAAGCCACAATGGCTGGGTTCACATAATACATTATACCCAAACAAAATGAGTTTTCTGGGTTAGTGCAATGTATGATTCTAGCACATGCAGATAATCACTACCACCACCAGCAGCAGTGCCACCATTGCTAAGCAATGCTTAATTGCCAGGTTTAATTCCCTGGAAAACATACTTTCTCATTTGGCAGACCTTTCTCCAATGAGTGGTTACAGAATGCAGTCCCTTTGCTGCTATGCCACTACATCGTTTTCACAGCTAAGTATACAACTAAATGAGTCATGGAAATTGAAGCTATACCTTAGGAAAACCCTACTTTAAAGGAAAGTTAGAGGTCAGGGTTGGAGAAGTCAAAAAGAAGGCAAGTAAAAAAAGACAATGTCAGAAAATGAGGAAAGGAGAAAATGAAAAGGAGAAAATGTGAGCGGAGACCCTAAAAGAGAGAGAGAAAAGTGAATTGCTTATGGTGTTACATGAGATAAAGACCATTTGCTAGGGGAAATGCATGGGGCTGCATTGATAGTTGCATCATGTGGTTGAATGAAGAATGTTCAAGATTTAAACATAATGTTTGCTGAATGGTGGTAGACAACCTCGCCTTTTTACCAGAAAAATCCTGCTCTGCTGGCTCTGGATCTCAGCTAGATGTTAGAATTGCTCAGCGAGAATTTGACATATAGTTTGACACTGCATTGCTTTGGGGAGGATCAGTCAAATTAGGACAATTCCGGTTGAGACACCTTTAATCCTTCTGTGCTACCACAATGCTACTCTTCTACCCCACCCCCACCCCCACCCGTACACACACACACCCATTTTCAGTCCCTGAATCCTCAGAAGCAGTTCAAACATAATCTGTGGTTCTCTTCACTTCTGCTAACCTGAAATGCTGCAAATAAGGAGGGGACTCAGTGCTGTACCCCAAGCTGCTAACAAACCTGCAGTAGTACAATCAGCTCATTTTGACTCAACACA